TTTTTGGTTTATTTAATTTGAAACTTGGTGAATCCTGGATCTGTGTATCTAACTCCTTTTTCTGCCTGGGAAGGTCTCAACTTCAGTATTTCTTTAGATAACAATTTTCTCCCTGTTTCTCTTCTCTTCATGGAACCCCTTTGATGCAAGTGTTGTTCATCTTGATTCTCCCTGAACCCCCAACCTCAGTTTCCCTAACATTATCTTAATTTAATATAGTTTAGTTTTTGCTTGTCTTTTAGGATAGTGTTTTTCCTGATTAATATTTGAATTCCCTAAATCAAAACTTGGATCTTCTCATTCTGCTGTTGAACATTTATATATGTATATATATATACATATATATGCATATACATATATGTCGCATATCGAATATTCTTGGTAGCTTGCCGGGCTCTCAGAGAGGGGCGGAGGAATCGAACTTGGGTCGGCCATGTTGGCTGTGTGCAAGGCAAACGCCCTACCCGCTGTGCTATCGCTCCAGCCAGACACAGGCATATCGATATGCAGACACAGTAACAACAAAGTCTCCAATGGAGACGTTACTGGGCCCGCTCGAGCAAATCGATGATCAACGGGAGGGCTTTTACCTTTACCTTACCTTTATATACATATATATATAATTTTTCTTTCTTTCACTTCACGTACTTTATTCTTTAGGTCTTTTATTTTTATTTACTCTTTTTCCACAGTTTTTTTTTCTTTGCCTAGTCCCCTTACATTTATATTTTAATTTCAGTGAGTATAATTAGATTGATGTTTTGAAGTTGTCTTTGGAGCCCTTTCATAACTCTGTAGTATTAGGATTCCTTCTAGGCTGTCATTTTGAGCTGTCATTTCAGGTGATTTCCTTGCTTCCCAATTTGGGGAGACTCTTCTACTGGGGAGACACTTCTGTAGCCTCGTGGGATCTGGGAACCTGTGTTTGAGTGGACCTTTTTGACAGCAAATGTTTTGCAGTTATAAGTGCAAATGACTGGGCTGGAGCGATAGCACAACGGGTAGGGCGTTTGCCTTGCAAGCAGCCGACTCGAGTTCGATTCTTCCACTCCTCTCGGAGACCCCGGCAAGCTGTTGAGAGTATCTCGCCCGCACGGCAAAGCCTGGCAAGCTACCTGTGGCATATTCAATATGCCAAACACAGTAACAATTGTCACAATGGAGACATTACTGGGCCCGCTCGAGCAAATCCATGAACAACTGGTGGACAGTGACAGTGACAAGTGCAAATGACACAATAAATTGAAGCAAGGGAGTGTTTTAATTTTTTTTTTTTTTTTGGTCATACCTGGTGGTGCTCAGGGCTTGCTCAGGACTCTGTATTGAAGGATCCCTCCTGGTGCAGATCAGGGGACACTAGGTAGTACCTAGGTCAGCTGTGTGCAAGGGAAGCCCCCTACACAATGTGCTATTGCTCTGGCCCCAAGGGATAAAATATTTTAGTAGCATTTTCAGATACCATTTACTGCTTACTCTCGGGAAAGAATTCTGAATTTGATATTACGGTAATTTAACTGCGTAGGATCTTCATTTCCTATACCTAATAATCTCATCTAGATTTTTAGGAAATAAAAGTAAATAGGACATAAATTTATAGAGCTAACTATAGTTAATTTTAAATGATGAATTATTAAGAAATGTAATTGCATTTAAAATGCATGTGTTCTACTTTGTAATTCATCTACCATTGTATTCATCAATTAGTTGGATGCAAGTTTAGGAAACAAATAAATTAAAAAGAAAAATATACAAATTTCACTGATTTTAGGGTTTTGTCAATAGCATTCAGGACTGATTTCAGACAATATGTATGCAGAAAAAGAATGAGGAAAAATTTAGAAGAACTAGAAAACTGATACATTAGGGTATAAATTATGAAAGTTATGCAAAACTGGTTTGTTAAACTACATGTTATGAATTTAAAATCAGGGATATTAAGTGAGTCTGAGGAATGTCATAGCAGTGGTATAATCTACAATATTAAGCCATACTTGACAGAGTTCCTTAAAAGCTGCTTTGAGACTGGAGTAATAGTATAGTGGATTGGTGCTTGTCATGCATGAGGTACACCTGGATTCGATCCCTGGAACCCCATGTTGTCCCCGGACAGTGCCAGAAGTCATTTTTGAGTTCAGAGCCAGGAGTAAGCCCTGACCATGCACAGGTGTGTAGCACCCTCCCCCAAAAATCTTAAAGGAAAAGAGAAAAGAAGAGGCTGCTTTGAGGGTAGGTGAAATAGTATAGGGGTTTGGGTGCTTGCTTCATGTGAGGCCAGTCATGTTCTATTTCTTACATACACGGTCCTACGAGCAGCCTCTGAGCACAGATCTAGGAATGTTCCCAAAAGACTGCTGGGTATAACCTCAAAACATATTTTTAAGTTTTCCTTGATCTCAGAGAAATGTTGAACTTTATTCACTATATTGGTAGGTTAGAGGTAGAAAACTTGAAGATATATATATATGAGTTTTGGATCACACCAAGCTGTGCTAAGGAATTTCTCCTGGCTCCCTGCACAGGGATGACTCTTGACAGAGTTTGGGGGAATAATAAGTGGTAAAGGGGATTGAACCTGGGTCAGCACCATGCAGGGCTGGTGTCCTTCACACTGCACTGTCTCTCCAACCCCACATATATTTTGCACAATGTAATGAGGACAAAGAATAGCATTGTAGCACTGTTCTCCTGTTGTTCATAGATTTTCTTGAGCGGACACCAGTAACGTCTCACAACAAATTATGAGACTTCTTGTTACTGTTTTTGGCATATTGAATACGTCATGGGTAGCTTGCCAGGCTTTGCCGTACAGGTGGAATACTCTCGGTAGCTTGCCGGGCTCTCCAAGAGGGGTGGAGGAATGGAATCCGGGTCAGTCGCATGCAAGCAAACGCCTTACCCGCTCTAAAAACTATCCAATGGGAATTAAAATTTGTGGCAAGGAAAGCGAGAGAGAGAGAGAGAGAGAGATGGGTTTTTGAAGATGAACTATGATTCTATGATTCTCTGTAATACTAGGTTGTTTCCTAAGTATTATTTGGATAAAGAGAGTGAAGACAGTGCAAGTGCAGTGCAGAAAGGCCCAAATGCTGTAAACTGTTCACTAAAGCCTCATTAAAATAGTTATCTTTTCAAACATCAAATGTCACATAAGTATAAATCCCCTATCATGATGTGCTAGTGAATGCTCAGCAAAAATTGTCTGAGAAATATGTAATTATTCCAACAATAATAAGAGAGATATATTTTCCATGACATTTAAAAATGATTTCCAAGTAGTTATAGAGTAGGAAAACAATTCAGCAATGCTTAAACTGTTACTTAAATTTTTAAAAGTACAGTGAAAACTGAGTATCAGAAGATGCTGACATGCTATATTTTATGTATTCCCCACCCCTGGGGGAGCACCCAGATGTGCTAGGGGCTCAATCCTGACTATGCTGTCCCCAGCAGAGTTGCTTCCCCCCACCCCACCCCATTTCACCCCCCCCAAGTGCCCTATGCTCATGGAATCACGTGGAACTAAAAGAACCATGAAGTGAAGGGAATCCAACCCAGCTCTCACATGCGAAGCCAAACCTGCTTTTGTCCTGTTGCCCTATCTTCCTGGTCCTCTCTTTTACTCTTAAGTGTACTTATAGTTCAGATGAAACTGATTGTGCTTATGATACCAGAGGCATTTTTTTGTTTTGGTGAAACAAGAAAGTTTTATAATTAACTTATTTAGAAAAAGGTGAGGAAAAAGAAAGGGAAAGCACACAGGCTTCTCTGGAGTGGAAATCAGTAAGCAAAGACACATGAGACAAGCAAGGGAGATTGTTGAGTGCTCAGAGGAATTCTTGAACCGACAAGTGTAATCAAACCACTGGAACCGCTTAGTATAAATTAATAGACTATAATTATCTAGTTAACTTTCGCTTGAAGATTTAGTTGGAAATGGGAAGCCTGACTGATTCCTTAGATGTAAAAAAATAAGCATGTTAAAAATACTGTGCTACAGTAGAAATGACATCTGTACCTATATGTTCATTCCAGCACTGTTCACAATAGCCAAAATCTGGAAATAACTCAAGTGCCCTAGAACAGATGACTGGTTAAAGAAACTTTGGTACATATACACAATTGAATACTATGCAGCTGTCAGGAGAGATGAAGTTATGAACTTTGCTTATAAATGGATAGACATAGAGAGTATCATGCTAAGTGAAATGAGTCAGAAAGAGAGGGACAGACATAGAAGAACTGCACTCGTTAGTGGAGTATAAAACAACATGAGGCAGACACCTAAGGATAGTAGATATACGGGACAGATAGATTGCTCCATAGCTAGAAGCCTGCCTCATGAGCAAAGTAGAGAAGGCAGCTGGAGTAGAGAAGCGATCACTAAGAAAAGATGGCTGGAGGAATTGGTCGGGATGGGAGATGTGTGCAGAAATTAGATAAAGGACCAAACATGATAACCTCTCAGGGTCTGTATTGCAAACCATAATGCCCAAAAGTAGAGAGAGATTATGGGGAATCATGTCTGCCATGGAGGCAGGGGAGGGTGGGAAAGGGGGGCATACCAGGGATATTGGTGGTGGGGAATGTGCTCTGGTGGAGGAATGGGTGTTTGATCATTGTGTGATTATAACCCAAACATGAAAGCTTGTAACTATCTCACAGTGATTCAATCACTGTCACTGTCACTGTCCTCCCGTTGTTCATCGATTTGCTCAAGCGGGCCCAGTAACATCTCCATTGGAGACTTTGTTGTTACTGTGTTTGGCATATCGAATACGTCACGGGGAGCTTGCCAGGCTCTGCCATGCGGGCGAGATACTCTCGGTAGCTTGCCGGGCTCTCCGAGAGGGGCGGAGGAATCGAACTCGGTCGGCCATGTTGGCTGCATGCAAGGCAGACGCCCTACCCGCTGTGCTATCGCTCCATCCCACTTCTGACAGTGATTCAATACAATTAAAAAATACATATTGTGCTAAAATTTTAATATTTTGTCTTTACAGATATTCCATTCAATTCCACACCGGTCAATGCCTTTTATAATGGCTGCATGGAAGTGAACATCAATGGTCTACAGCTAGACCTGGACGAAGCCGTTTTCAAACATAATGATATAAGAGCTCACTCATGTCCAGCAGTTCTGAAAAACACACATAATTCTTAAGGCATCTCTTCTGCTAATAATACCTTATTCCTATTGTAATTAAACTGATATTTCAATAATAGCTGCAGGGCTTGTGATGTGCAAATTTAATTATTTTGTGGTTCTTTCACCATTTTGGAACTTAAAAAACAGTCCCTTTTCAAGAAAATAAGATGGCTGGAGAGAAATTAAACAATGAAACAAATTATAATTTGAATTTTATGAAAAGTAATTTTTTAAATTTTCACTTCTACAAAAGTGAAATGTAATTTTTATCAGTTTTAACTAGTGTTTTAATACCTATTTTACTGAGAAAACAAAACAGGAAATCCAAACAAAGTGCATATAACTAACATTATTGATAAGAACTGATACTATTTTTTTACATATTTTTTAATGACAGAAAAATAGACAAAATTGAAGGCTTGCTACTATGAATTAAGTTTAGACCTTAAATATTATTACAACAATTTCTTGGGGACCCAAATTTGACCTATTGTTTTTCTCTTCACTTCACATTCAAAGCAGTTGCGTGACTTAAATTTGAAAACAAGTAGAAAAATTTTCATGAGAGCATTCCTCAACTCTTGCTGGTTTATAATTGGAGTTCCTGGGGATGGGATACTAGATTGTATTGGAATATGTGCAGAAACCTAGGCTGGGAACATGTCTAAAATGTGGTCTATGCATCACACAAAAACAAGTTACAAAAGACAATACCTAATAATGAAAAGGTGAGTAAATAGTAATAGAAGTTCAGTGGAGTTCATGCCCAATTCAATCAGCTTAATCAATGGCTGAATAAATAGCACTACTACTACAAACACACAAAAAATAGAAATTCATATTTTTTCTTAAGTCCAACTTTAATTACCAGGGTAGGCTGCAAGAATGTGACTGTTGAAGGATAAAGGAATTATGAAAGATAGAACAGTTTGCAATAAAAGGATACCCATAATGGGACGGTTAATATTATGTGTTTTAATGAAGGAGCTAAGATTACCCTTCACTTGCTGAAATGAATTTGCAAGTCATATCACCTTCAAACAAATCATTCACAGAAGGAATCCATTAGATGTTTCATTGCCTATTAAAATAATATTTTTTCTAATATAAGATTTTTATATATTGTAAAAGATAATAAATTGGCACATACTTAAAATTTGTATGAATAATGTCTATATTCTAGCAACATTTTGAGCAGCATAAAATTACATAATTTATATGCAATCATATATCACAGATCTTTAGTTAAAATGATAAAGCTCATTTACATTATTATATCTGGGTTATAGAATGTAGTTCATTAAAGGAATAAAAGCAAAAGTAACATGAATTGAGTGTTTGACGTATGAGATAAATTATGCTAGGTTATCTTTCTGAATAAAACCTCTCCAAATTACAAGCATAGGTGATGAATTTCAGCAAGCAGTAAAAAAAGAAAAAAAGGAAGAAAAGACAAAGTGAATTTTCTTTAAGGAGGAGTTCTATGATACCATTTAATTTTCCCACTCTATTTCAACTTCCATCAGAATCAGAAAGCTTTCAACATTCCGTGATCCTCATAGAGGCCCCAGAGACTTTAAATTTTATTAACTGTCCTTGAAAAATGCTTGAAGGAGCTGGAGTGATAGCACAGTGAATAGGGCATTTGCCTTGCACGCGGCCTACTTGGGTTGGATTTCCAGCCTCCCATATGGTCCCCCGAGCTCCAGGAGTAATTCCTGAATGCAGAGCCAAGAGCAACCCCTGTGCATCACTGAGTGTGGCCCAAAAAGCAAAAAATAAAAATAAAAATGCTTGAATAAGACAGATACTAACTCCATTGGCTATCCTTTAAGTCCTGATGCAGTACAGTGTTTTCAGATGACTTTACATAAAGATCTTATTTCATCATAGTCCTTAAAAACCTCCTTGGTTGGACCTGGAGAGATAGCACAGCTGATAGGCCATTTCCCTTGCATGCAGCCGACCAGGGTTGGATTCCCAGCATCCCATATGTTCCCCTGAGCACTGCCAGGAGTGGTTCCTGAGTGCAGAGCCAGGAGTAAGCCCTGAGCATTGCCAGGTATGACCCAAAAAGAAAAAGAAATAAATAAAACCTTTGTTTCCTAATGATTATTTTAGAAAGTAATGTTTATCAATCTTTTTATGACCGTGGCCCCTTCTCATCTTGTTTTTTTTCCCATGGCCCGATATTTCCTAGTTTAAGACCCCAATCCTATCTATTGGAACCCTAGTATCATGCTATGGCCTCTCATTTATGCTTTTCACTTGTGGAATATTCTTTTGGAATATATTGGGGATATAATTCCAAAATATACAGATAGGTTACGTGCGCCCTCCCCCCATTGAGAAAAGTTGGCCTAGAGTACATATTATGAACCCTGAATTTTATTATAAAATGAGTAGATGTCAATCCAAGATGCTTGTTAGACCACCAAAAATTCTCCTGTTACTATAGTAACAACCATATTTCACCCTCTCTGAGTAGCCCTCCAAAATACACTCCTTCTGTACCTGTTTGTCTTCATAATCCTATAATTGCACACTAACACATGGACATGCACAGGACAGACGAATAAAACACTAAGTAAAATAATAGGAGAATGAGTCAGAGAGGAGCAAGGTGTGTGTTGTATAAATAAAATTAGGAGATGAGAAGAGGACAATGTAGAAATAAAACGAAGATAATATTTGGAGATGCAGTGGAATATTTATTAAGATGAATAATAGAGGAAAGAAAAGAAAATACATAAAATAGTTTAGGTGAAGATAATTATAGAGAAAAAGGTGTTTTCCTGTAAAATTTGAAATAAGAGTTCAGAGGAATCGTTTAAGATTCATGACAAGATTAAAGAGAGATAATGAATTGAGATAGAAAAGCAAGGTTAAAAAATAGCACTGTAGCACCGTCCTCCTGTTGTTCATCAGTTTGCTTGGGTGGGCACCAGTAACGTCTCCAGGGTGAGACATGTTACTGTTTTTGGCATTTCGAATATGTCACGGGTAGCCTGCCAGGCTTTGCCGTGCGGGCAGGATACTCTCGGTAGCTTGCAAGACTCTCAGAGAGGGACGGAAGAATTGAACCTGGGTCGGCCATGTGCAAGGCAAACACCCTAGAAACAGAAGAAAATTCAGTGAAAATAGACAAAAATGATGAAAACAAGGTGCACCTAAGAGGGGAGAGAAATGGAAACCTAGTAGAAATGAAAGAGTTGATTTCATACTTTGAGGAATCCGTGGTAGATTCCCCTTCTAGAAATGTATTCTATTTCTAATTTGTGAATGTATTTCCAGCAGAAGTAGACATTTTATTACTGTTTATTAAAAAAAAACAGAAATGGAAGGGTAGAGGGAACATATGCTGAAAGAAAGAGAGACAAACATTTAAAAAATATTTGGGAAAGAAAGTAGCAACAAAAAGAAAATAGAAATATGGGGGTAATCAAAGACTAATGAGAGATTATGGGAAAAGAGTAATTTAGACTGAGAAAAAGAAAAGAAGAAATAAATACAGAGTGTAGCAAATAGAAAAGAGGGTGGTCAACGAATATTTCCAAGTTGAGAATTGTAATCATAAGACAGTGTAAAAATGATGATCCATTTCCAGAAGGTGGAGCTCTTAGCTATAAGAGTTTCTTCTATGATTTCTCTTTAATCATGGTTTCCTTAATCATGGAATCCTTAACCATTGATTCTTGAAGTTGAATAGGAATGGTGACTGCAACATTCTGCCAAGAAGGATGGAAGATCTTGCAAACACTACTGCTTTGAAATCTTTCTGCATTATTCTGACCTATGGGCTCTGTTTACACAAAAGGGAACTGTCACTGATTATATTCTAGGGAAATTCTGAAGGTTTTCTTGAACATGGCACATGGTTAATACTGGAGCTAAAGCTGTGAAAACTTCTTAGCCTACAACTGCTCGTGGATTATTATGCATAATAACATTTAAAAAATATTTGGGAAGGAAAGTAGCAACAAAAAGAAAATAGAAATATGGGGGTAATCAAAGACTAATGAGAGATTATGGGAAAAGAGTAATTTAGACTGAGAAAAAGAAATTTTTTTTTTTTGGTTTCTCTTTTTTTAATTGACAGGAATGTTTAGTCACTGCTACTGAGGGGCACACGAAAGCAGAATCATACAACGCACGGTGGCTGCGCTCGGCTCCCCGTACCGCTGGCCCGGGGGAGGGGGGGTCACAATCAAGGACCCTCCAAGCCCACAGAGTCCCTTCAGTGTGAGCAAAGAGCGACGGCCTGTACATGATTATCTGAAGAACGAGCAATAGCCACAGTTCAGACACACCAACTATGCAGATTCAACAAATGGGGCGGAGGCAGCCTGTTGTTAAAGACAAAGATTGGACAAAAAAGTGAAAACACAGTGGGGAGCACAGCCCCCCACTGCCTGCCTCAGGGCTGCTGGGGAGAAGGAAGAGGACGCGGGGAGGCGTGCAGGGTCCACCGTGATCTGGACACCAGCAGACATGAAGGGCTTGGGGAGGCCTTGCCACCCTCCTATGTAGAAATGGGGTCCGGAAAGGTCACTAGACAAGACGAGGGGTGAGCAGGAGCTCTGGGCCCCCTGCTCAGACTACAGGAGGGTCTAATGCCCGAGCCAGAGCAGCTGCTCTGACATCCTGAGGGGGCAGGAGGCACCCTGCAGGCAGGGAGTGGGGTGTGGGGTGCAGTAGGGGGTGCCAACAGCTGCCTTTAGCATATTCACAGGACCAGGGTGGAGCCGCCCCTCCCCCCCCAGACGGGACACTCCATTGGCTCCTGGGGACACTTTGGCCCCCACAAGGACAGCCTTTGTGTATTAAAAAACAAACCTGGATTTTCTGATTTTGGTCAACTTCCAGTCAGCAGTACAGAAGGACTAGTAGCCAGGAGAAAAGTGCAAATGTGGGGCTAGCTGTTGTGCAGGTGGTGGAATGGGACGAATAATATTATGCGTTATTGTGTGGTCTAGAAATGCAAATATGCACTAAGAATGTAGTAGAGAAAAACAAGTAGCATACTAATTTAGCTTATGAAGACAACGGAGTTATGAAGGATGTCATAGCTATTCAACTCCAGAAAGAAAGATGCATGCTTAAATTGTACCTTTCTTTGAAATAAATAATTGAGGTGATGTCATTCCAACTCTCTTCAGTAGTTCAGTTCTTCCTTAAAAATATTTCCTTCACTGAACATGTTTGCCACTCAATGCCTCTTTTGCAGACCACAACACCCAAAAGGAGAGACAGAACAAAAGGGAATGCCCTGCCACAGAGGCAAGGAGGGATGGGGGGGCATGGGGGTGGGAGGGATATTATCCATGGTGGTGGAAAATGGGCACTGGTGGAGGGATGGGTATTTGACCATTGTATAATCGAAACCCAAGCACAAAAAATTGTAATCTACAACTGTACCTCATGGTGTTTCACTAATAAAAATTAAAAAAAATATTTCCTTTAATTTCAAACATTCCTCTGACTTTGATACTGTACCAAAAAAGATATGCGTCAATGAATCTGGAAACTTTGAACACTGCACTTATTTTTTTTCCAGAATAATCCAGAGCTCAAAACTTATTGTTAAACCTGGTGCTGTGAAAAAAATTGAGAAACTTATTCAGCTGCTGGTGTGGCCCTGGGAGATCCCAGCCTCCTGGACTCAAGCACTACCCAATGTCAGGCTTCAACATGGAAGTGTTGGCCACACAGCAGGATTAAGCATGCACAGAGTGCTTCCCGGGCTACCTGAGCACTGCTGGGGCACTCCTCCACCCCCACCCACCAAAGAGAAAAATAATAGCTTTAAAAAAATGTCTCTCGTGTAACGCCACGTTTAGCTAAATCCTCACTCTTACCATTTCCTGTGCTGCTTAAAATACCCTTTGCAAATGTCTGAATAGGCAAAGCATCTGAATCTTTCTTTAAAAAAAGTTTAAAAAGGTGGGGGTTGAGTGGTCACACCTGATCACACACAGGGGCTATTACCTGGTCTTTAGTAGGGAATTGCTCCCTGATACTTGAGTATGTGGACCGAGTGTCACACCTGGGCCTCTCACCTTCAGAGCGTGGAGGCAGCCCAATGAACCATCTCTCAGACCCATGCACTAATGAACTACTCATCAGCTCAACTGAGCATTACAAGAGCTCTTTGCCTGGAATGTGACATCTAGCCCCCAAATTTCCTTTCTTGCTTCCTTTTCTTTCTCTATTCTTTTTCTCGCTCCCTACAGTTCTAACAGAAAGACTAAATTTTAAGCATTTTGATTATTGGAAAACTTCTGAAACAATTAGGTGGATGCTTCCTGGTCAAATTATCTTCCCAGGAACCACCTAGGGGGTCTTGGAGCTCTGCACAAGGGTATGTTACAGCCAGAAGACTTCTGAGTCTTCCCATTAATCTCTGCCCTTGAGCTTAACTCCCTGGGATATGTATGTTATGAAGGGTGAAAAAATCAATGAAATCACTAGTATCTTATCCTATGTTTCCTTCATAATCATAATAGTGCTCCAATTCAACATTATTCAGCAGATATAGAGACTGAATAGGTACCTATTAGCTGCAACATGGAGGTGTTGGGAAGACATTCATTTAACATTAACTTCAAAATACACAATATAATGATAGCACAGCATATAGGGCATTTGTCTTGCATGCGGTCAACCTTGGTTCTATCCCCGGAATCCCATATGGTCCCCCGAGCACCACCAGGAGTAATTCCTGAATGCAGAGACTGGAGTAACCCCTGAGCATCGCTGCGTTTGACCCAAAAAGAAAAAAAAATTAAAAAAGTAAAATATGTAATGTGATATTGAGATTTATAAATTTATAAATTAGATTTATAAATACATTTATACTATGATATAATTTTCTTCTAGTCTCTCGGACAGAATACCAAAATCCTTAGAATTTCCTAAAGATAGTTTTGTTAATGAGGTAACAAAATACCTAAGGATGGGATTTGGTTGCCTAAGATCAAGCATATGACTGAAGGTTTGAAATTTTCAGTCTCACCCTTTATCTTTTTTGAGGATTAGAGGATTGGAGTTATCAATAGTTGGCAATTTAATCAATACAACTCTGCTCCAAAAATTACCAATACTTCTCTAGGTTTCCATGCCTGTCATATTCAACACTAACTGCTAACAAGTGTCCTGTACATTTAAAAATATCAGACTCTCCATAAATAACATAATTCTTTTTCTCCTATCCACACACATGAGATAGGACTCGATTGGTTAAATGTAGCAGAAACCCAATTGGAGCAAGTAAAACTAAATGGAGAATTTTTTGAAAGTTTCACCCACATACTTCCAGATATGAATAACTGGGACTTGGATTGCTATGGAGAACTAAGAAAGTCACCTCAGATTTGATGAGTTTGGAATATAGAACCTCTATTGAGAGGCTAATGGGAATAAAAAATCTTATGGAAGTAAAAACGGGAAAATACAGTTGCAACAACACATTTATAGTGGAAACCACAGTGGGGAATACAGCACTTCCCCTTGGGACCCATGTTCCCATGGGGACCCATAAGGAGATACAGTTAATAAATCTCCCAGAGGCAGTCAATAAAGCACAGATGCAATAAATCCCAGATGCCAGTTTGCAGCAACTCTACCAAGAGAGGAAGTCTGTCAGCAGAATACCTATCAGCAGGATGCAGGCAAGTGTGATGAAAGAGCTTAGAATATGTCAGTAATGCCTGTCAGCAAAATTCATGGCAGGAAGCCAGCTTTAAAAGAACCCCGGATTCAATGTCTGGAGTAGCTGACAGGCCATTCTGGCCTTCCGCCTGCCTCCCATGGTGCCTCTCCCCATGGCACTTGGACAGATTTCCCTGCCAGCCCTACTGCCTTATTTTGCAGGGCAAGGTATTACTTTTGGTACTCCTTTTGAGGAGACCAGAGGTTGGATCTTGGGACCATGCCCAGTTGTTCTCTCTGGCTATTCTTACCTCTATGCTCAGAAGAAACCCCTGGAGGTGCTTGAGGGACCATATGTGGTTCCAGGGACTGAACGCTGTCATCTACATGCAAGCAAGTGCTTTTCCTTCTGTTGTCTTTCTTTTCATCAAATAAACATTTCCTTTGCCATTATTACTCTCAGAGTTCTTTCACAAACCAGCATGCCTCTTTCTCTGTCCCGATAACACTTATCATTGTTATTTCTGAGCAACTACATTTTTCTTTAACAATATATAATAGTTTCTTCAGCTCTGATAGAATTATGGATAATATTGAATGCCAACAGATTGAATTTACATGTTCAAGTTACACACAACTCGGGCACGACAAGAATACTAGTAATTTTTATATTTTAGTCCTGTTCTAGAATGCAAAAGAAAAATTTGATTCTCTTGGTTGAACCAACACTTAATGGTATGAAGAGGAGGTAAGTATGGATGTACTGCAAAATTGCTTATTTTCTTTAAAAATACTGACTATTCACCATTCTCTGGCATAGAACTTTACAGTCCAAACTTCCAATTAAATCAGTAAAGTGTTCTGTTTTTATCAAGGAGTGTTTTAAAGCTACACAGGCAATTCTAAGGTATATCCCACCATTATACTTGTCCATGAAGAAGGTGTGTAGTGAAGATGGGCACTTAAGTAATCTCAAAAAAGGCCTATAAAGGGGTTCAGGATATGGTTGAAGACTTGAATTCTGGAGACCCTGGTTCAGTCTTAGGCACTGCCTGGTCCACCAAACACCTCTGGGAGTGATCCCCAAACCAAACCTAACAGAAAAGAAGATCTTGGCAAAGGTGTCTTACTTGTATTTGTCAATTCTTAACTAAAACTTCTTTTTGTTTTTAAGAAGTTTTATTATTTAAATCATTCAGTAAAAGCTAAATTTCTGAAAACCATTTCTAAAGGATGTCTTATTTTTTTCCTTGTTTGGATAATTATTTTATTAAAAACACACAACCAAAATATTTCTTTTTTATCACAGGAAAAAAAAAACTTACTCTAAGATGTAATATAACCCTTGTGACAAATAATGGGTGTATAAAAAAAATCCCTCATTTTACAAATATTTTTTTCCTAGAAAAAAAAGTTTGAAAAACATATGCTCCTAAAACAAACTGATTTTTTGGTGTAAAATTACTCTGGCAGATAATGCATTTTCTCAATCACTTTCCACTGTGTGGAAAATACTCCTTTTTCAGGGAAATTAGTTCAGGAAAATACTTCTACACCTTTTATGCTGTGCCTATTGTGACTCTTAAAATCATTACT